GCATGCATGTAGGTCTAGCTTAATTTACATACTTTCTATTTTACTTATTCATCATTTGGTGCTCATCATTATGTAGTAGATAGCATTTTTATTTTCTGTTGAATTGAACAATTATGTTAATGTTTTATCAGATTCTCAAGTTTTTGTTTTCCTGGTGCATGATTTCAAGATGACATCACCCAAGCTGACAATGATGAGGTGCCAATTCACTTAATTGAAGGTCAAAACAATCAGCAGGATCTACCTCCTAATGAGCATGATGCAGAAAATCAGTTATGTTCAATGCCAAGTGCCGCTGTATGCAACCCAGATAACGACAAATTATCTCAAAAAGCACCAATGACTGGCTGCGGGGGGTCCTGTAAACAAGGTTAATTTTTATTACTTCAAATTTAAATTTATGATCAAATTAAGCCTTTTGATTTCACTCACATGGTCCACTTCTGTCTTCCATACTTTTGTATGAAGTCTTTTGCAACATAGCAATAATCCTTAAATACTTTACAAATATTTGTTTACCAATATATGCCATTTATTTACCAATAGTTACTGGCTGATAATGCCAGCAATATTCAATTGTTGCCAACTTTTGTAGCATTCCAAACTGTTCATTTTGTTTTTCTTATTTAGCTTGTTCATTACATTGACTGCATTGGCGTTGTTTGATGAGTTTATTCTTTTTTGTTTTTAGTGTTGTCAATAGCACCTGCTATGGCGCTATAGTGGCCATAGCGTAGCACTCATAGGGGCTGCTGCTATGGAAACAGCCATAGTCTGGCGGTTTTCCAATAGTGTCCGCTTTAGCCACTATAGTGGCTGCAATCTAGAGAGTGGATGGCACCTGGTATCCATGTTATTGTACTTTCCTTTCTAAAAGACTGAAATGACCCCATTTCAGCAAATTAGATTCATTTTTAAGGGTAAATCTGTCATTTTAATTTATTTAATTAAAAAAAAAATCAATAACACACTCAAATTAACCCTAAATCTCATCTCGACTTGATCTGTCTCGCGCCTCTCGCACAACTGACATTGCAAAAGCAAAGCAAAGCAAAACTAAACAGTGACCCCCGCAAAACACCTCCTAATGCTAACCAACCTTGTCACTAGTTATCCAAGCCCCAGTGCCAATCAACCTCGTCGCCACTCCTGTTGTCCATGCCCCTGACATTGCAGAAGCCCAAAATTCAATGCCCCTGACCCTACAAAGCCTAGAAGAACTCCATACCCCCTTTTTTGGCACTTAAGCTTTGTTTTTATTCAGGCCAAAGGAAAAGCTTTGATTTTTATAGTATTTAAGCTTTATGGATCTATTCTCTTGCTGATTTTTTTTTTCTTTTTGTATGAATGTAAATAAAAAATTGTAGAAAACTTTTTAATGAATCCTAAGATGGTTGCTGGTTTCAAATTCTGTCCATTTAACAAGATTGGAAGCTGAAGAGAGGCATGAGGATTATTAGATTCTCTTAAATAATAAACTTTAGATTCTTAATTCTTAGGAAATGGAATTGTCTGCTGCCTTTGTGTTTTATTTTATTGTCTTATAGCTCTATCTATTCTGATTGTTATGACTTTATTTACTTGAGAGTATTATGTTATTAAGTCATTTTAAGTTATAAGGTCATTTGAAATTGTCTTATTTTCCTTTAAGTTATTAAGTCATTGGAAGCTATTTGTTATTAGGTCCATTATTCTGCTTATTAAATTTCTATATTTTTGCTTTTTTTTTTTTTTAATTGCCGCTATTTGGTTAATAGCGGCCGCTTTGCTATCTGCTACACTATCATAGTGGATTTTTACCTTCCCACTATTGGCCACTATCCGCTACTAATAACCCTGCTTGTTTTAAAACAGAATCTGCAGTTGTCTCCAATCTCAATCAAGTTGCATTTGGGAGGTCCAAAGTTACTAGCTTGGTCACTAATTCAGAAGGAGCTGAAAAACAGCACTTGGTTGCCAATTTGGAGCAATCAACTCCCCTTGCTGATGATAAACATCCTTCTAGGGCTTCGACAGCTGCTGAAAGCATCAATTCTGAGATGTGTTCTTGTCAACTTGTAAAATGTGGGAGTCCATTCAGACTTCTACAAGACTATGCTTCTGATGAGAGCTTAGAAAATGATTCTGAGCCCTGTGTTGACATTGTTAAACCTTTAGTAGTCTCATCTTTAGCTGCTGCAAGTTTGCATAGAGATTTTAGTTTCAGTTCAAAGAAAGATAGAAGGTCCAAAAATCTCTCAGAGGGTGCTGACAGTTTGGTTACATGTTCTGATTTGAGCATATCAGATAAAGCTCTAGAAGTTCTTAAAGGTTCAGAAGAGATTAAAGGAACCATGATTTCAAGTGAGACTGGATGTATTGGTGATAATTGTAGAAATAAAAAATCTGTAAATCATGGTGCTTCCCTAGAGACATCCCAGAAAGAAGATGCTGTGGCTGGTACTTCCTTGGAAGTTGGTTGCAGTGGTAAGTTTAGCAAGGAAGATGATGCAGAGGAGAAAAACGCAAAGGCTGCTCCTTCTCAACTTAAAGTGGATGAATTTGGGCGATTAGTCAGAGATGGGGCTACTGACAGTGATTCAGATGATTCACACTATATTAGGAGGCATGGTAGAAGAGGTCGTAGTCGTAGCCGGAGTCGGTCACCTCTAGGGAGGAGGAGGAGTCCGAGAAGGAGAAGGGAGAAGCGAAGCCGATCTCACAGGTATTCATCATATATTTTTTCTCTATTGGTTTTTGTGCATGGCAGAACTAGTTGTTTTTCAGTATTATGCACTAGTATCTTATCTGAATCTTTGTTGCAATCCTGGCTGCTAATCCGTGGAGAAAATTTAATTTCTTGGTTGTTTTTAGCTGGTCTCCTAGATACCGAAGGAGCAGGAGCAGGTCTCCCAGATACCGAAGAAGCAGGAGCAGGTCTCCCAGATATCGAAGAAGTGGGAGCAGATCTCCCACATCTAGGCGTGTGGGTAAGTTCAGTGGTGAGAATTTGAGACAGGCAAAAGGGCGTATTCCAGACTGTTTGGACTACCTTCGGGGCAAGTGCTATCGTGGAGCATATTGTCGTTACACTCACCGTGGTTTTGAGAAGAATGATGAATCAAGACAACAGTCTGTAGAAGTTCGTTGGGGTTCAAGGAATAATATTCATGAAGAGATCAGGCATTTGTCTGGAAAAGTATCTGATTGTGGTAATACTGAGAATACTGAAAGACAACCGGATAGCCACTCTGGTGCAGCACGAGATGGGAATGCTGATGAGAAAAGAGAAGATTCTCTCAAAGGTACTCTGGAATCTGCTAATGATGGTCATGGTCATTTGATTCATCATCACATTATTAAATCTGATAAGTCTAGTGATATTTCTGCATCAGTAGTTGAAATTCAAGTCATTGAAAAAGAGGCAGAGGAGCCAATCATTGTCACTAATGAGACCTGTCAGGAGGCATTGGGGTTGCACCACTCTTCAGTTGATGGTTTTGCCTCTAAGTTTGTTGGTGATGTGGATGCCCTGCCACAGCAGTCAGATAACTCTTCTATATCTGATTCATCACCACAAAAAACCTCTACATGTTCCCCAATTAGGCCTGCAGTTAACGATGCTTATCCAAATATGATGCAGTCTGAGCATCTCTCTTCCCAGCTGCCCTCTTCCTCTCTCCCAGTCTCACAAGCTATAGATGCTTCAAATATGAAAAATCCAAAGACTGCACCATCCACTTCTCAATCAACTTCTGGGGAAACGTTTCCTCCCTACATGTTGCCTGACCAACAATCTTTCTTCACTGTACAACCAGATTCTTCTCTGGCCTCCTTGCCACACCCACCACCATTGCCACCACACAATTCAACCATAAATGGAGGAACTTCAACCTCTGGTGTTTCTTCTCAATTTCAGCAGAGTCAGTTGCCTCTGAGGAAAGATTTTGGCTCCCATACTGCTTCGAGACCTTACCCAACTGAATTGCCCTTAAATTCTCAGGTTGGTGCGTTTCAGCAGCAAGCTTGTCCTATAATGCATGAGCCAAATCGGCCTCTCTCACATGCTGTTTTGCCTGTGTTTAACCTGCTCAGTCAGAAACTTGAAGATTCTAATTTTTCAAGAGAAGGTTGCTTAACACAGCCTCTGATGCAGTCCTTCATTCATCAGAGCACTCATGCTATGCCCTCTCTGCAAGAGTTGCCAACAAATAAAGCACCATCCTTTTCTGGTGAGAGTTTGCTGCCTGGAGGACTTTCAAATTCATCCTCATATGTCCATCCTTACTTACAGCAGCAACTATCCCATGGTTCAAACCACCATATGGCAGATGTTGTTTATAGTCTTCACGGGAATATCAGTTCTTCATACAGATATCCACCAGAACTGATAGACACAAATCGGCCACCATGCCTTAAGGATTTTGGAGGATTGACTGCTCCAAACTATCATCATCATCCTCACACATCAACTTTCGAGCACCCAGGAAGCTCTAAACATAGTTCTGATGTTTTTAGGCAAGAAAAAGATGCAACTTACAGTAACGCACCTTTCAATTTGAGCTATGCTTCATTTGATGGGCGAGGTGTTGTAACACAAGAAGCAAGCTCCTTGCCAAAATCTACCAGGTCTGTTGGGCAGAATTTCCCTAGATCAGGTAGTGATCAGTATGATCCGCTTTTTGACAGCATTGAGCCATCGTCAAAGTTAACTGGAAAAAATGATCATGTTCAAAAGTGGGAAGCAACTGGTGACTCTGAAATGCTCAGGCTAAGTGGTTCCAACAACCCGTTGGATATGGAGGAAAACAAAAGCAAAGATGGAACTGTTGCATCTGCAGCATCTGCAGACAATGAGGAATTTGGTGAGGCAGTTGATGCAGAAGTTGGTGCAGTTGAGAATGGCAGTCCAAACAATCCTATTTATGTAGAGAACATAGTTGGTGATGACATTGAAATTGATCAGATAAAGTCTCCTATTAAGAGCAAGAAGAGCAAAGATTCCAGATCAATGAAGCTTTTTAAGGTTGCTATTGCAGATTTTGTCAAGGAGGTTTTAAAGCCATCATGGAGGCAGGGTAATATGAGCAAGGAGGCTTTTAAGACCATTGTCAAAAAGACTGTTGATAAAGTGTCAGGAGCTATGAAAAGCCACCAGATACCCAAGTCTCGTGCAAAGATAGATCACTACATTGACTCATCACAGAGGAAACTGACAAAACTTGTGATGGTAGACATTCATTTCCCCTTCCTTTTTGCAGAATCTCATTTTGCAGTACATAATTGCAATTAGGGACATTTGAAGATCCTTTTTTTTTAAGACTTTATTTTAATCTGTTTCATTTTGACAGTGAAATGCTTAGAACTAATACTAGTTGTGCACTAAGTCCATATGAAATAGTGAATATAAAGTAAATTTTATTAGTGTCAGACCTACCACTCCTCATGTTATAAGTTGTACCACTCCTCATGTTATAAGTTGTACCACTCCTCATGTTATAAGTTGTACCACTCCTCATGTTATAAGTTGTAGAGTGGCAGTATTTTAGTGACCAAGGACCAACCTCCTTAAGGGCTGCATTTTAGAGAGATTATGAGGACGTCTAACAGAAATTTAGATTTGCTTTGGGCAATATGACGAAAAGCTCCAAGTAGCTGTGTATGTCAAATGAAAAATAATGCAGGATTTTCGTAGGTTAACTGTAGACCAGGATGAGGTTTACGTATGCTGTCAGCTGAAACCCCTTGAAAAACTATCTTATCCTTCTACTCCAAAGCTGTTACTGGTTTAGGTCACAGATGAATTTATTTTTTTTCTTTATAGATACAAGGCTAGCATTTTTTCCAGCGTTTGAATTCTTTCTTGTCTTCTGGGGAAATTAGGCTGACCTTTTATTTTTGAGAACTGTATGGATTAAAATTATTGGCCTAAAGGTTGATTTGCAGACTGAAGTGATTTCTTTTTATTTCATTTGGATGCTTAATATTGTTGTAAATTCACTTAACAAAGTTGCTTCCCTCATGTTTGGCAGGGTTATGTTGATAAGTATGTGAAAGTGTAGGACCCGACATCAACTGGATCCAAGCCTTTCCCTGTGGTAAAGCATTTTGATCAGACACATTTTTTTGCTTTGCTTCCTCTGTGCGATTAAATTCGTATACAATTTAAGATTAAGAAATGATTTCATTATCAGCAGATGCTTGAAGAATAGAGAATATCTGTTTGTATAGTTTGTATTATTAGCGTAAAGAAGATGCAACGGCCTAACCTCTGTGAGAAGATATGAACAGCATGAGAAATTATTTTCAATCTCAGCTAAAGTTCTGAGGAAGTTGTTCCAAAACATATACTAGTATTCTTCAACATAGTTTATATTAACTGCTATCACTGATATCTGAGGACCAAAGATGTGGTCCGGCGGAGATAAATAGTGGAGATAAATTACTACCTTTTTCTGTTGGATTCTCTCCGTTCTCACCCATTTCAAGTGATCTCTTTACTTATTTATGAACTTGTGTTTTCACGAAGGACTTTATTGCAGTGTGACTGAGGGCCAGGATTGCATTGAAACTGAGAAGAAATATTTTGAAATTATATATATTTTCAACTCACACACCAACTTAAAATTTTTAGTATAGTTAATTTTTTTTTAAAATCAATCAGTGAATTAAATGTTTTAAGTCATATAATTATGCATCTTAATTTTATGTTGATTGAATATATTTATATATTTTATTAATTACAAAATATTATTTTTAGCAGAAATTAAACAGTTGAATGTCTTAGAAGATACATTGTGTTTAATTAATGGTTATAGATTTTAGATTAACTTGAAATTTAATATATATAATCTATATGAATAAACAATGAAAAAAAAATGATAGTCCCTCTTTCTCATGGTGAACATTTAATTTAATTTATGATATTCAAATTATTAATCATATTAGAAATTATATGTAGGAGTTGAGAAAGTTGATTTTGACCCAAATTTTATTTATATTTTGTTGTATTTAAATATTTATATACTTTAATATTTGCACTTGGGTCTAGTGGCCCGATGACTTTAAGCTTTCTTAAAAGTGCATCTTCTCAACCCTCAAGATAGGGGTCGAACCCCCACCCCCTCATTTGTACCTTGTTCAAAATATATATATATATATATACACTTTAATATTCTAATAAATAAAGGGTAAATTTGACATTTTAAGTTATTTTAACCCTCAGAACATTCTTGATGAGTATCTTTTTACCATTTTACTCTTTACTCAAAAAGAAGTTTTAGCACAAAGTTTATATTGAAATCTACTTAGTAACTTTCCTTTCAATTTTGTTTATTAATTTTCTTTCAACTTTCTTAATATTCATTTCCTATTAAATATAAAAAATTAACAATATTCACAAAACTTCATCATAATGACTAACCTTTTTTTACAGTACTTTCGAACTTTCATTCTCAATTAAAGGGTTTTAGGGAAATTGCATAATAGGCAAAGAGGGCGAAAGGCATGTGTCATACAATTTGCTTGAACAATAAAATGTCCCCTATCTGAAATAAATAATAAAATTGATGAATATGCAAAGAGACTAAAAGGCTGCCAATCAGCCCTTAGGTAAATTGTTTAAGGATTTAGAAGTTCGTATCTCACAACTTTCAAAATTGTGGTTTTGACTCTTACAATTTCTAGGTTTTTTTTTTCAAGTTTTTCTTGATTTTCTATATCATGCTTCAGTGATTAAATTTTTACTATATACACTACTAAGTATTGTACTCTACTTTAAAACGAAAAAGAGTTTGCTTAGTTTCTAGGCAGTGCTTAGGCACCATATAAGCATTGGTAAGTGCTTTAGGTATTTTTATTTTTATTTTTTTAAAAGAGAGATACTAAATAGAATAAAAAATTCAAAAAATGAAAGAAAAACTTAACTCGATCCCCTAGTGCTTAAGTGGCACCTAAGCATGCTTGGGTGAGCTTATTGTACAATGAAAAAAAACGCATGCGGTCTTGCAATTTGTGTCAATAATGAAATGTCCCAAATGAATAAGTTGTGAAATAAATAATAAGATTGATATATTAATTTGGATTAATTTTATGAAAAATGCATATAAGCCCAACCTCTTTTTTTTTTTTTTTTTTTTTGAACAGGTTTTTACAAGGGGCGGGTCGAACCCAACTCAGGGGAGGGGGGAAATGCACCTTTAGTGGCTATTGCCACTTAAGTCAAAGGGCTCGATGCATAAGCCCTACCTCCTTTAGAAGTCTAAAAATTCAAAATTATTATTATTTTTTGGCTGGATTCAACAAACACCAATTAAAATGACTAAAATAGCCTTTTATAATAAAAATGTAGAAGACTTTTTAGTGCTTCTTAATTTATATTTATTAAAACTATATAGCTCTGAAAACAACTATTCTCTTTTAATATATATCTTAATATATATCTTTTCTTTTCTTTTTTTGATCAATGGGAAATTGGGGGATAGGGGAGTAAGTATAATATTGCTGCAGCACTGACAACTAGAACCCTTGACATAAATGCCAAAGGGATAGTGCACTTCCAACGCAGCCGAAGCCGCAAGTGCATCTTAATATATATCTTATATAATTTGAAACTTTTAAAATTAGTGACTCCCTCAATTCAAATATACCATAATAGTCTCCTTAATTTGAGAGAAAAGGTAAAGAGGGAAAATTTTTTATCTAATTAAATTAAGATATTGGATTAAAATCTTAATTTAATTGAATGAAAAAATTTTATTTTTCTCTTTTTCTCTCAAACTAAGCATGCCCTAAGTGAAAGAAAAATTTATTACTTATATACTATAATATAATAGATGGCAAAATAATTTTTTCTTTTAAAAAAATATATGATTTATCTATAATGTATGTTTAAGTATAAAATAATAAATAATTATGAATTAATAATTTTTATTTTTATTTTAAAAATGATGTAGTTGATGGTACCGCATGTTAACATTTTATTAATACATTTTATATTAAAAATTAAAAATTATATTTTATTCAAAATTTTACATTTTTTAAAGAAAATATTAAAATTTTTACTTAATAACTATCCTTGTCATGTGCCCCTGCAAAAGAAATGAGAGTAAAAAGGTCTGAAATCTGAAAATGGGCCTTGATGTAGCTTTTTCGTAACCCAACTAGGGTTACGCAAATTTGAACTTTCTTTGTTTCATGCACGGTTCCACCTCCCTTCGACTTTGAGTCAGGTTTCAACTTTCAACTCAGGTACGCTTCGTCGCTGCAATGGCGTTACACAAAATCTCTAGTTCGCTTCCTGTCGTGTTACTTCTGCGCTTGAATTCAAATACCAGTACTATTATTTTACCTATTTTCTTGTTCTGAATCCTTTATTTCCGGATAACATTGATTGCATTTGAATGTTCAAGGAATTCATGGCAGAATTTTAGGTTTTCGTTTATGTCAAATTGGCTTGTTTGATGCAGAGTTGAGGTCGTAGGGTTGGGGAAAGTATGGATGTTAGTATTGGTAATGGGAATCCTTCAACGGAGGATGTTCATTTAGGGCAGGGTTTGTCCGAGGGGCTGTCTGGTGTCAAGTTGAGTCGTGGACAGAAGAGGAAATTGAGGAAATTGAGGAAAAGGAGGATGCTTGAAGGTTTGGAGAATAGTCATACAGATGGCGGGGATGAGATGGTGTTGGAGAATGTTTCATCAATGAGGGATTCTCCGGGAGGGCATGTAGAGTCTGTTGTGAAATTGAGTTCAGAGCCTGGGTTGAAGGAGAATGAATCAAATGGAGTATTGGGTCGTTTGAAAAAGGAAAGGATGAGGAAGAGGAGGAATAGGGAGAAAAATAGGGTCAATGCTTTGGAGAATAGTGATGTATGTAAAAAGATGGATGACCAGCTTGCTGTCAATGTAAGTTTATCTCAGGAAATTTGCCAAGGAAAGGAGGGAAATAGCATGGATAACCCCTCAAACAGGTTAAATTCATCTATTGATGGTCACATGGCATATGGCAGGGAATTCAGAAAAGAGGATCTCAACTCTGTTAAACAAGCTGTGGAATTGAAAAATGTAAAGGAAAGTTCCCTCATTTCAAAAAAGGAAAGTGATTCTTGGAGGAGTAAAAATACTTCTGTGCTGAACACACGGGCTCTTACTACTTTCAAAGGAAAGGAATCTTTAAAAGGATTTGACAGGAAAAGGAGGAAGTGCTTCTCTGGAATTAACTCAGAACCCATCAAGGATAATATGAAACAGGTTTCATTTGACCATAAAGAAAAGGAACATAAAAATGGGTTCTCAGAGAATCAGTTAACTGTGACAGAAGAGAAGGATGTTGCCTCTGAACAGGTTATGGAGGAGACATCTGCACGAAATCTAGCCCACTTATCTGCACTTAAGGAATGTAGGAAAAGAATGAAAAGGAAGTTGAATGAGGCTTCTAGAGGAAATAGTTTAATGAAGGGTATGTCACAAACTGCAAGCAATAAGTCATTGGAAAAGGTTTATCATCCTAGTAGAAAGCTGCTAGTACTTGATTTGAATGGAATTCTTGTAGATGTTGTTAACGGTGGAAAGAAGCCAGACATTAGAGTATCAGCAAAATCAGGTGAAAATCTATGTTTTCATTTAAGCATTTGAATTTGTGTGTGTATGTGTGTGTGTGCTGGATCCATTAATTTTGACTTATTTGTTGCATGCTCTTTCTCAGTTTACAAGAGGCCATTTTGCGATGATTTCCTCTCATTTTGTTTTGAGAGATTCAATGTGGGTGTCTGGTCATCAAGACGCGAGTATGCTTTTGCATAGGCCTGCTTCTCTCTCTCTCTCTCTCTCTCTGTCAAACACACACACACACACACACACTCTCTCTCTCTCTCTCTCATGAGATGCATTGTGCTATAACAATGTTGCATGTCTATTTTCTTTTGCAGGAAAAATGTGACGAAATTGGTTAATTTTATTTTTGGGGAATCAAAACAAAATCTGCTTTTCTGTTGGGTTAGTTGCATTGCCAGCTGTCATTTTAACATTGTTGACCTGCCATTTTATTGTTGAAAATCCTGTTAGCATTTTATGTTTAGATTTTAGCCTTTCATCCCACTCTATTGGTTTGCAGTCGATGATAAATAATACCATGATAATGCATGTTAATTAGCATCGTGCTGCCATTTTGTTTTCAACATGAGGAATTCGGGGGGAAGGGGGTAAATGCCATGATGTCAGCTTCTTTAAGGCAATTAAGCTTTTAGACGTAGGGCTTGAACCATTAGGCCATAAAGGTTAGTTCCATGGGCTTCAGTCATGGGGGATGGACTCTAAAGCATGCTCCTTTTGTGTTTAATGCTCTATGTAGTTCTTGGAAATGAAGATATAGTAGAGAAATAATTTTACTCATAATGAGGTTTTCCTACATTCATGAGAAAATGGTTGCATACTCAACTTGAATTGTAACCCTTTGATACATCTAGTAATGGGCTATAGAACAACAGTAGCCCAACCCTTTCCAAATCATTCTCCACTGGTCTCAAGGTTCGAACCCGAAACCTCCAACTTGAAGTCTAAAGTTCTTACCTATTGATATTAACACCCCCC